TGAAAGAAGCTACATGCTTATTTATATTAGGATTAATGTCACTAAAAATTCTCTAATTTTGCAAAGACAGTCATCATCATCTTTCTACTTTAAAACAAGTCATAAATATCCTTGAATTTTGAAGAAAGAGCCCAGCATCTTCCCTCTTTTTACCAACATTATAACACCGTCAATTCAACCGGTAAAATCCTTCGAATTTTAATGGTAAAATGACAAAATTGGTCCATTACTTTTTAGTTCTTATGCAGTTTGATCCCCAAACTTCAATTTATTTAATTTGGTCCCTAACTTTAACTTTTTATTGCAATTTAGTCCTAAACTTTTGAAAATTTTTCACTTAATTCCCCAAATTTCTAATTGCATGCATTCCAATCTATTTTAGAGAAATAATAAAAATCATGTAAAATCCAATAAAATCACTTTCAATTCATCCAAAATATTAATAAAATTAAGCTTTAAAACTAAATTGAAATATATAAAATTCATTTGTTCAAAGTGAAAAATCACATCTTTAATACCCAATTTGATATCCTTAAAAATAAAGAAATAACATGTAGCTATTTCCATATACATACTCACATAAAAAAAAAAAAGGAAACAACTTTATGATAAAAAAAGGATAAATAAGAAATGGTTGCCTTTTTTATTTTTTTGGTTATACACTTATAACTATAGAAACATTACTCAAAGTTATCATTAGTCCATGATGTTCACACGACCATATTTACACCACACTCATAAGTTATATCCACATCCTCTACAGCTTCATCACTTTATTAGTAGTACTTTATAAGATTTTTAATTGGGTATCAAAAACATTTTAAGGACAAGTGAGTATAAAAAATTTGATTATATATTTTAATGATATGAGTTTTATATATAGAAAAAAATATTGTGTAGTTTAGACTATATAAAATTATACCAAATTGCACAACAGTAACCTTGAGACCTCTAATATTGGGGCCCTTCTTCCCATTTAATGGTCCATGTTTTATAGTGGTAGAACCCTCAAATTTGCCCTTTAAAAAGATGGATAGGGACGGATTCACCCTCCAAAATCATGAAGGGACAAAGGACACCCTCAAATTATCGATCAATACAAATAGCTCATTATTTAACTGATGACATCATTATCGTTAAAAATTCCATTTGGCCTATGATGACATGGCATTTTTCTTACACTTGGAGACTATGTGTACCATTTGCGCAATTTTTTACACATGTCCCATGGGTCCCTCTCTTTTTTACTTTCCACATCATCTAGGTTCCACAATATACCTAATTTTCCCATTTCCCGTTTCACCAGATTAGTAACCAAACCTAATTTCCAAATTAATTTCCTTGTAATAAACGAAAATGAAAAATCAAAACCCTAAATCTCAAAGAAATTTCTGAGAAAATCAAACCTAATTACTCATAGAGTTTTTGAGAAGATGATCCCCAAACAAACTTCTGCAATCTTTGGCAATGACCCTCCTTCACACATTCTGCAAGATGACCACCAATTTCCAATAAAGAGATTTCAAAATAAAGGGCTAAAATACAATCAAAGCTGGTGCAATTAGAGGTTCAAAGACATACCTTGTGAGGGAGAGTAAGAAGTCGGCCTAATCCATCGCTAGGAAGGTGGAGAAAAGGTGGAGGGCTAGGGTGGCGGCGAAGGGGGGTCGGGCACTTCATAATCTACTATGGTTGCTTGGCCAATTTTGGGTCGATACAGGAGAGGTGAATATTAGGAAGCAAGCGATGATTCTTTTATGAGTTTTGAACTTTGGGGTGGTGAAAGGTGATGGAAGCAATTATAGGTGAGGTTCATTGCGAACCCAGACATTTGGGTATTTTTCATTGTTTTGAGATAATTTTTTCATTTGGGTATTTCTTATTTTCATAAAATTATGTTTCTATAGTGATTTGTTCTTGTTTCTCAAGAAAATTTAGTTCATTTTATTGTTTTTTGGCCTTTGAACTTCTAAAAAATATTTACTGGCATTAAAAACAATAACTATGAGATTTCATGGGTTTCTTCTTCTTCTTCATTTTTTTTTCTTAATTATTTGCCATTAAGACTTTCTCTTTTTCAGAATTATTTGCCATTAAGATTTTCTCTTATGTTGTCTTGCTTGATTAGTCATGGAGGAATCATTGAGGCTTGTAGATCTAGCTCAAAAAGAAGGTGGGGAAATGGGAATAGAAACACATAAGCCAAGATATGCGTTTGAGGAATGGCATAATTTCATAAATTTGAGTGGATATGAAGGTTAATTTAGGAAATATTGGTTAAAAAGGAAAAAGAATGAGGCCCATTAGCCACGGTGTCAAAAAATAGCCATGTCAGCACGAGCAAACGAATTTTTTAATGGTAATGACTTCATCAGTTAAATAATGGATTATTTGTATTAATCGATAATTTGATGGTGTCCTTTGTCCCTTCATTTTTTTGGAGGGTGGATCAGTCCCTACCCATCTTTTTAAAGGGCAACTTTGAGGGTTTTGCCTTTTATAGTTAGGTGCAATCTGAATTGCAAAATAAGGTTCCCTTATATTTTAGTTTATTATTTCAGATTTAATTTTATTGATATTTGAACAAGTCAAATACTTGAATGTGATTTTATTGAAAGTTATATAATTTTTATTATTTGTGCAAAAAATGAGTGAAATGCAAAATTTGATATTTAAGTGCATCTCTTTCAAAAGTTTAGGAACTAAATTTTAATTAAAAAAGTTGAAATTTGGGACCAAATTGAATGAAAATGAAGTTTGAGGATCACAGTGCACAATAACTAAAAGGAAAGGGACAAGATGATGCTATTTTACCATTAAAATTTGAAAAAATTTTAATGGGTGTATTGACAGTGTCATGACGAGGGATGATGCTTGGCCCTTTCTGATAAGTTGAGGGATACTTATGACTTGTTTTAAAGTAGAGGAATAATTATGACTCTTTTTACAAAGTTATGGGATTTTCACTGACATTAAATCTTTATATAAAAACTGCTAAGACTTCTGCTAAAACTATTATTCTAATTAGAACTATAGTTTGAAATTTAAAATTTATATTGCCTTTATTTCCTTCCCTGTAGCTGTCCATTCTTTATTTTTTTTTTTGGTTTTCCGTCTGGTATCTGGGGCTTCAGCCCGACTAATTCGGATCGACCAGCGTCACGCACTTGGAAATGATGAGTGAGTCTCTCAACACAAGCTGCTACGTACACAAGGTTTCGAACTCGAGATCTTGCTTAAACTAGAACAAACCGTTTATCACTTAATCCAACCACTCGTTGGTTGTCCATTTTTTATTCTTTCTGAAACATATATATATATATATTATTACAATTTATAAAACTGAACATCAATCTCATCAACAAAAAGAAAAAAACCTGAACAACAAGGACGAGTAGCACCCAGGGCGCTAGTTGAGCATGAGGGGCGCATGAGTGATGATGAAGACGAAGAAATCGAGATCCAGGCTGGGAATGGCAGGAGACAAAGTGAAGTGCGTGCTTTCGGAGGAGACGCAACCTTGGGAGGGAAAGAGATACGAGTAAAATGTAGAGGAAATTAAAACAAAATTAAATAAAGGCTCTCGGCTCCCTTGCACTTCCCTCCCCTTAGACCAAATAGACTATTAATTTCAAATAAGACTTTTAAAAACTAGCCAAAAAAAATCCAAAGACTTTGCTTGTTGCAAATAATATCTTGAACATATGAAAAACTGAGCAATGAAGTCCTTATATTAACCACCATTTGTTTCAGTCAACTATTACCTTTACCTTATTACTTTCATCTTATATTTGGGTTGAGGGAAATAGAGAGAAGAGAAAGGATGAGAAAGGGAATTTTATCTCTCCATTCCTCTCCATTTGCCTCCCCTCTTCCCTTTATTTGGATAAATTAACAAACTAAGAAAAAAATAAAGGGAAATTTTCCTTCTCCTCCTCTCTAATTTTTTTGATAACCAAATAGGAAAATTTTTTCCCTTCCTCTCCATTCTCTTCAATCCAAACATACTATTAGAGTGTGTTTGGTTAAAAACCAAATTTTCCATAAAAGTTTTTTTGAGAAAATGATTAGTTAAAGTATTGTACGAAAAGTTCAAAAGTACTATATGAAAAGTTATTAAATTTTATAATAAAATTTTATTAAAATTTTTTTGTGTTGTTAACATTTGGCAAGAAATTGATATAAGAACAATTAGTAAGAAAAGTTATTAAATGAGTCTTATATGAAAAAGTTAGGGAAAAAACTTTTTCCCTTAAAAAAAGTTGAGAAGAAAAATTTATAAATTGAGAATTGTGTTAAAGAAAATAAATATTAAATGTTAGTCTTGCCCTTTATTCATTATAATTTTAAAATATATACCTATCAAAATACCCTTATAAAATCCTAGTGAGGACATTTCTTAGGAAATTAAACCAAACACACCCTTATGTCCTCTTTATGTCATAAAAACAACTTTGTTAAGCTGGAAAGCATGCAAATAAGCGGGAATGGTTATAGCCACCAACAACAGAGTTATGGCCACCAAAACTATTAAATGTTGTTTTTAAAAATGTTTATTTTATTTTATTTGACTAATAAAAATTATTAATAACTGTAATTATTAATTAATAATTAATAAAAACAATTAATATTTATTAACTAATAAATTAAAATCATCAACAAAATAATATTTCAAAAAAATAATATTTAGGAAACAAACCTAATATTTTGATGGCCTTAAGAATCTTCACGGCGTCAATAACCACACTCCAAGCTAAGCCCTCCCTAATAATTTGTGCTGACGTGCATCAAAAGAAACAAATTGTGCTGACAAATAAGACCGTAATAAAACTATATAAAACCAAATCCACCCCTAATATGGTTAGAAGTGAGACTAATGTGGATACTTTCTATTGAAGTGGCAAATTAATTTCAACTTAAAATTACATATATACCCTTCATCCCTCTGTTCCCAACCATTTGTTTGCTTTGACTTTTGACATGTTGCTTTAGTTAATGTTTTTATATCAAATAAGAATGA